GATCTTCCTGAAACACCCCTGTCAGGCCACCCTTCTGCTAAGGCTTCCAGCAAGTCTCCTCCGAGGGAAAGCTGGGGAAAGCTGCCGAGCAGGGGGTGGGCAGTGATGGGGCACTCCCACCCCTCCAGGGTGCTGTGTGCACCACACACGTGTGTACGCGCATGTTGTGGGGGTGCAGGCCAGGCCGGGGATAGGAGAGAAGCAGCCAGAACGGAGGCAGAGGAGGTGGGTGAGGGCTAAGGAGTGAAGACAGAGAGGCACTTAAGACAGCGGGGCTTTGTGGCCACACCAGAGGCCAAGGACGAAAGGGCAGTTGGGTGGATGCCCTTGCTGGCTGTGGAGACAGGGCATGGCAGAGCAGGCTGGGTGGGGTGCACGTGTGGGGAAAGGTGGTGGTTTTGGTCTGGGCCCTCCTGAACCTGGAGGGACTGAGGGAGGTCTGACCCCAAGTGATCCCAGGTCAAGATCATGAGGCCTGAGACACCTGGGTGGCTCAGTCAATTGGGCATCTGCCTTTGGCTCGGGCCGTGGTGGAGCCCCACATGGGGCTCCCCACTCAGCAGAGGGTCTGCCTCTCTCTCTCCCTCTGCCTGCCGCTTTCCCTGCTTGTGCGCTTACATGCTGTGTGTCAAATAGATAAATCTTTTTTTAAAAAAGATTTTTATTTGAGAGAAAGAGAATGATAGAGAGCATGAGAGGGAGGAGGGTCAGAGGGAGAAGCAGACTCCCCGCTGAGCAGGGAGCCCAATGTGGGACTCGATCCTGGGACTCCAGGATCATGACCTGAGCTGAAGGCAGTCGCTTAACCAACTGAGCCACCCAGGCGCCCCTAGATAAATAAAATCTTAAAAAAAAAAAAAAATCATGAGGCCTGGAGCAGATCTGGGAACCATCAGCAAGGTGTTCATGGCCTCTAGAGAAAATCATGCTTCTAAGGCTACCACTCCAGTCCCCGGGTTGAAGGAAGCCCCAGGGAGGGGGGGGGCAGGAGTCACCCAGGGGGCCTCTCAGCACCCTGCTTCCCCAGGAACAGAGGCAGCACCTCTTTCAGCTCATCCTGTTAGGAAGGGAGGCGCCAGAAGGTGGGAGCACAGACCAGGTGCCTCTTGGGTCAGGGAACGTGCTCAGCCCTTGAGCAAGACCTGTGGTCTGGTTGGGTCACTTGTGAGTGGCTGATTGTGGGAACTCATTTGAAACGCTCTGTTTTTTGGAAGGGGGGGATGGTGGTAATGAGAGGAGTGAAAACAAAGGGCTGCCCAGGGTTGGGAGAAAATCAAGAGCTTCCAGCTGGGAAATTGAGGGACGAGATAAAGAGGGAACCACCCACTGGATTTGACTCCGTAGCAGGTCAGGGTGAGATGGTGGGAAGGCAGTGGGCTGGAGAGTAACCGGAGGCGAGTGGAGAAAGCCAGTGTAGACAACTCCCTTGAAGAAGGGTGGTCAGGACGGAAGATGAGGGTCAGGGAGGCTGCAGAGAGAGGATGCAGGACTGGTAAAAGGACCTAAGGGCAGTGTGGGTGCTGTAGGACTGGGTGCACTTACAGAGGACTGAAACAAAGCTGTGGGGAGACTGCAGGGTTCAGGGCCAGAGCCCAGAAGGGGGCACCCCCGCCTCAGCACTGCAGGGAGCCAGGAAGGCCAGGCCAGGGGGGAACCAAGTGCCCAAGGACTGGTGGCTCCCAGGTTTCTCCGGGATTCATCCCAGAGCAGCAGCTCCCCACAGAAGGGAGCGGGCGAGGGAGCCCCATCTGAATGCTCAGGCATTTCCTTATTGGGTACATCAGAAAGAATTGCTCTGGCTCTTGCTGATCCAACCGGTCTTCATGAATGGCTGTCCCTCCACCCCACCTACTGACTTCACAAGTTTAGTTGAATTCACACAATTTATACTGGATCTTGCAAGGACAGAGAAAGGTTTTATTTATTTAGAACAAAAACATATGTAACATAATTCTCTAAAACAGAAAACCCTATAAAATACACAAAGTAATCTCTATTTGTATTTACCCAGGGACATTAACAGCCGGAAGGGGGGCTAGGACTGGGAGAAAAGCCAAGGACTAATTCCATTTAAGAAAAACAAGAAACTGCCTTTTAAAAAAATAGCATTTTTCTACTTGTCAGTAGCTACACTTTCCCCGACTCTGTGTATGAAAACGTGAAACAAAATAGCACCTGTGAAAACACATTTGAGCTGCGTCAGTCAGAGATGAGGCAATGACCGGGGCTGTGGAATTCCAGCCCCGACTTCTAAGCGCGTCCCTACAACACAGTGTGTGCTGGGGAGTTCTTTCTAGAAAGCCCCCCTAGCCCCAGTGATGGAGAACTCCAGCAGCCCGGCCACTCTCGTCTGTAGTTTAGTTGAAGAATCTAGGAATCAAACACAGCAGTTAGAAACGCAACAGGACTCAGCTGCCCGACGCAGAGCAATCATAATCTGGAGGTGCCACGTGCGGCCACGGCCACGCGTCCGAGAGCCAAAGCCGGCCCTGGGTCTGCGGTGACCGCACTGGGCAGGACCGGGGGACAGCGGCCCCTACTGGATGGGTTCTGGGAGACGGTAGCTGATTAACGTGGTGGCTCTGAAACTTCAGATCAAAAACACAGGACAGTCTCCAAAGATCAGAACAGGAAGGACCCTAAGATCATCCAGCTCAACTTCATTTTTCAGATGAGGCCCCAAAAGAAAAGACTAATTTTTGAACGCAGGCAGAGCTTTATTCATTGCAATTTCTCGACTGTTCCCCAAGGAGCGACACTTCCTTAGCCATTTAAAGATGTGAACCCCCCCCCCCCACCCAAGCAGCCGAATGCTTGCGGCAGCTGCTTTTCAACCGGCAACCACCAGCACTTGCTGCACACACTGGGGCGGCACGAGCTGCCCGGGATGCAACCAAACCAGGAGCCCGGGGGAACCTGTCCCGGCAGCTCCGGGCACAAGCGGCGTCACGCTGCCGGACAGACGACACGCGCACTGGTGCGGAGAGACAGAGCGCCACCGTGCAAGTCCTGGGGGCCACCGCCTCCGCTCTGTGCCCCTCTGTCCCGAGCCCGCGCTTCGAGCCTCACGCAGGTGCCGCCGGACGAGTGGGCTGGCGGCTTTCCCAGCGCTGCTGGAACAGAGGTGCGAGCATGGACACTTCTTCCTTCACGCGCAGCGGCGGTCTCAGGGGAGGGGACCTTGCCTGCGCACCCCCCCACCCCCGGGGGGCAGCTGTAGCAGCCGGTGGCTACAATCCAAGGCGGAAGGGGGAAGGCCAACGCTCCCTCCTCAAGCAGTTGATGTGGCTTCTCGCCTAAATCTACGTGGAGTGCTTTCCGTGCCTGTAAGGACTACGGCACTCGGCTCGTGAAGCCTTTGTTGGCTGGCCTTCGTCACAAACTCCAGAAAAATATGGCACCTATAAAATTCAGCTTACAAATCTCAAAGGCACCGCTCTTATGGAACTCGTTTTTAGTGGGATAAAGAGATGAATAAACACACACATCTAAGTGCTATAAAAAAAATAAGCAGGCTACGGGGATGCAGAATGATGCACAGTGCTCTTCGACATGAAGTAACGCGAAGACCTCTCTGAGGGGACATTTACGCAGACGGAGCTCTGTGAACAGCCAGGAGAAGGGCTTTCCAGGCTACAGGAACACGGATGCAAAGGCCGGGACTCCGAGACACGGCTGGAGCGACGGAGAAACGTCAGCAAGCCAGCATGGCTGGGATGGAGTGAGCGAGGGGAAGAAAGACCGCGACACTGGACTGGCACCAGGCGCCAAGTCACTGGGGCCACGGAGCCCTCGGGCAGGACTTTCAGGTGCACCACTGGGGGTTCTGAGCAGAGAAACAACTTTTTGAGAAAAGAAAGGTGAGTCTGGCTGCTTCGCGGGGAAGAGACTGCAGGGGCATAAGAAGAGCAGTGAGGAGAGCAGTCCCCTCTATGCTGGGCTCTCGGGCTACTCTGCCCAGCACCCCGAGGTGGCCGCTGCGAGGTGGTGCCAGGTTCCTGGTCCAGGCCTCTGGAGACTGGCATCTTCACTCTCCGTTGGGCAGCACCTCACGTCCCATTTATTCCTCCACGAACCCAAGCTTGGCAGTGCAACCATTCTAAGGCCATCGCACTGGACGGGCCGCGTGTGGGCTCCAGTCAACAGTCCACTCACCTGCCTGACTAGAGTGAGACCCCCTGCCCACAGCCACTGACGTGGGAAGCATTTGCTGTACTCTGCTGGGCGACCGGACAAGGAGAGGATGGGGGTATGACCACACAGGATGCATGACGGCGGAATCATCAAAAGCACTTGCCTGTCCAACCCCAAGCAAAGTCCTGGAGAAACAACATGCTGGCAGTAATCTCCTGATTATTGGCAGGATCTCTGATGCAATCACCCCGAGAAATGGCCAGCCCTGGTGCCAAAACCAATTTGACATTGCTTCTGATCACTGGCAACTGCTGTCCAGCTTGAGGCCCAGCATGATTTGCAATGTTCAGGCCCAGAACCTACCGGTGAATCAAGACCGAGCTCAAGCCCCAGAGTCAGTAAGGGGAGAGGGAGACTCACCGGAGCATCACGAAGCATGATTAAGTCATTCCACCACTAATGCTACCTGTTTGTCACACAAACAAGAGTCATTCTATTGTTAAAGTGAAGGAGTTAATTTACCCTGTATAGATGTGAACCCTTTGCTTCAGGTATCATATATGGTATTTTAAGTCCATAAACAGAAATTTTGGTATAATTATTTAAAAATAAAATCTTGAAAAAATAATCATCTCTGCACCCCAATGGGGCTCGAACCCACAACCCTGAGATCAAGAGTGGCATGCTCTACTGACCAAGGCAGCCAGGTGCTCTGGTACAACTATTCAGGCATTTGAATAAAAAGTAAAGATCTAGGGGCGCCTGGGTGGCTCAGCTATTAAGCGTCTGCCTTCGGCTCAGGTCATGATCCCAGGGCCTGGGATCGAGCCCCGCATCGGGCTCCCTGCTCAGCGGGAAGCCTGCTTCTCCCTCTCCCACTCCCCCTGCTTGTGTTCCCTCTCTCGCTCTCTGTCAAATAAATAAATAAATAAAATCTTAAAAAAAAAAAAAAAAGATCTAAGGGCGCCTGGGTGGCTCAGTTGGTTAAGCGTCTGCCTTTGGATCAGGTCATGATTCCAGGGTCCTGGGGTCGAGCCCCACATGGGGCTCCCTGCTCAGTGGGGAGCCTGTTTCTCCCTCTCCTGCTCTCTCTCAAATAAATAATTTTTTTTTTAAATACTAGAAGGACACAGACATTTCTTACTAGTTATGGAGAAATGTAAATAGACAATAAGCAAATGAGGAGAAGCTTCCCTACACAAATTCAAACATCAGAAAGGCACGACGGGGTCCCTCCCACAGGTAACGGCACTTCTGCACTCTAGTCCACAGAAATGGGAGCATCAGCGCCTGGAGCCTGGGTAAAGCTGGCCGCCTTAGCACATCCGGCTGGGGAGCCCCCGCCCCATCCACAAGGTTATGCTTAGGCTTGTCCGCACCCCCTTCAATGGGGCTTTCGGGCTCTCCTTTTGCTTCCTTCCCAAGTCCAAAAGTCCCCCACACTCCACCCTCTCAGGCATCAAGCTGCCTATTAACCTGGGAGGAGGAGCAAATTTGGTCTCCTTTTACTTCAAACTCTTCTACTAAGTTTCAAGGTCTTTCATTAAACAATGTCCTAGAGATGCGCTTTCTTAGGGAAGGAACTGTTCTTTTGTGTACCTCTTCTGCTCTCCCAAAGCAACCAATTAAAAATGCACAATATTTCTATCCCAGCCACATCAAAGATTCAGTATTATAAAAACATTAACAGCAGGTCAAAGGGTAAAAAAAAAAAAGCTTATCTTTGTGACAGGAAGGGGTCTGCTACCAATCACTCCTGATAAAAGCTTTTAATAAAAACCTTTCCTTAACATGATGAAAAGACGACTATCTCAGCCCGAAGTTCGCATCATGCCTACGAGCGGAGAGTGGCAGTCCCATCACAGCCAGGAAAGATGCGGGTGCTCAGGGCTGTCTTCACTATTCAACACTCTGGAAGCACTAGCCCACATGTTTTGATGGGCTCTGAGTAAAATAAGAAATGCAACTGGTAGAAATATTTGGATATGATGATCATATACCTAGAACATCAAGAAAGCAACTGACCAACTAATGTGACAGAACTATCAAAAAACTAAAAAATTCACAAACGTGTTTGGTTACACAGAAACAGGCAATATTTATAGAAAGGACACCTGACTGTAAAGTTGCTTGACCAAGGACATGCTAATTCTAATGAGATCCCCTCTCAGATGCACCAAACTGGCAAAGATTAAACTAACAACAGAAATGACAGCAAAGCTATGGGACAGAATCTCTCAGATGCTACCAGAGGGGACATAACTGCTACAGCCACTGAAGAGATCAATTTAGCAATACCTAGTTCAGTTGAAGAAATACAGATCACAACCCAAGGATACATTTAGTTAAGTGTCACAGAAAGCTCAGGTGTGGGGACAGTAACTACAAGGCCTCCTGCTACTGTTAAGAATATTGTAAAACCGGGCACCTGGGTGGCTCAGTGGGTTAAGCATCTGCTTTGGCCTAGGTCATGATCCTGGGGTCCTGGGATCGAGCCCCACATCAGGCTCCCCTCCCTGCTCAGCTGGGAGTCTGCTTCTCCTTCTGCCTCTGCCCCTTCCCCACTACTTGTGCTCTTTTTCATGGGAAAAAGAATACTGTAATACCCTCCTAAGATGGAATGCTACTCGTTTTAAGATTTTATTTGTCAGAGAGAGAGAGAGAGAGCACATGCGCACAAGCAGGGGGAGGGGCTGAGGGAGAGGGAGAAGCAGGCTCCCCACTGAGCAAGGAGCCTGGTGCAGGACTTGATCCCAGGACCCTGAGACCATGACCTGAGCTGAAGGCAGACGCTTAACTGACTGAGCCACCCAAGCGCCCCTAACTCATCGTTTTTTAAAAATGAGGTGGTAGTTCTTTGAGTGTTAACTTAGAGATCACCCAAAATGTATTTAAATTTTATTTATGTACTTTAAGCAATCTCTATGTCCAATGTGCAGCTTGAACTCACGGACCCCAAGGTCAAGAGTCACATGCTCTTCTGACTGAGCCAGTCAGGCGCCCCCAAAATGTATTTGAACACAGTATGATACAAAATATAGGATTCTATTTGTGGGGAAGATTGCATATATACCCACATTCTCAAATATTCACAATAAACCCTGCAGGAAGGATGCACATAAAACCTCAACAGTGGTTACCTCTGGAGAGTGGGCTTGGGGACTGGGAGCTTTATACTTCACCCCCTCTTTTTTTTAAACTGTAAGCATATAGCATTTTATAATTTAAATACTGAC